CTCGGCGGCCCCCGCCGGGCGCGAGGGCGCGGCGACGGCGACGACGACGACGACGACGACGACGACGACGGCGACGACGACGACGACGACGACGACGACGACGACGACGACGACGACGACGACGACGGACGACGACGACGACGACGACGACGACGACGACCGACGACCGACGTTTTCCTCGACTTCGGCCCTCGGGGGCCGTTCTCGGGCCCCCCGGGAACGCGGCGCAGGGAGCTGGCGCGCGAGGGCGCGGCGCAGCGGACACGCGTCCGGGCCTGGCTCAGATTTGGGACGCCCGAAATGGGTACGGAAAGAATGGGCACAATGCCCAACAGCGGCCGACTCGGCTTTTCCCGACTCGGCTGCCGATTTCCGCCGATCTGACTTATCGATTCGATTCTGGGCTGTCCTGCCCAGGGGTGGGGGGGCCCGCCAGGCGAGGTGCCGAGTGGAAGCCCTCGAACGTGTTTGTTTGGACGCCCGAAATGGGTACGGAAAGAATGGGCACAATGCCCAACAACAAATGTTGTCCCAAACCAACAGCGGCCGCTGTTGGGCAGGCGGCCTTCTGTCCCGAATGGACACAGGCCGCGGCGGCGTGGGCAGCGAATCCTGTTCAAAATGAGCAGGAACTGCTGTTGGGCATGGTGCCCATTCTGTCAATACCCATTTCGGGCGTCCAAACAGATGAGGTGGCTGGATGCTGGCGTGTCTGGGCACATTCTCACGGCGCCGGCCATTGCAGGCAAACGGGGAGCGCGCCGGGGGTGGGGCGCAGGGCACGAAGGAGAAAGAGGAGAGCGCCTGCGGAGCCAAGGCAAGGAGAGGCAAGGCAGGGCGCCGATGTCTGCCCCGAGGGGAGGGGGGGGGGTGGCGGGCGGCCCTCTGAGAGCTCGGCGGGGGCGCCGGAGCGCCGAAACTCAGATGTCGTAGTACACGAGTGCTTCAGAATCCGGAGGTCGGCTCACGGAATCAAGTTTGAGAACGGAACGCTGCGCGGAGAAGGGGCGCGCATTCGCCTCGCATGCGTTCGTGCGATGCTGCCCATCACCTCGGCGGCTGCGGAGGAGGAGGAGGAGGAGGAGGAAGACGAGGAGGAGGAGGAGGAGGAGGAGGGAGGAGGGAGGCCCGACCGTGGAGAGCGGACTGGGACGGGGCGCGCGCACTCTGGACACCATGCAGGCGCGGGGGGGGAGGGGGAGGACGGAGAGGAGGAGGCGCAGGCTCTCGAGAGGAGTGGCGGGGGGAGGGCGACTCCTCGGCCGCGCCTCGGCACCACGTCCAATTGGTCTTGGCCCTGGCCTTGCTTTCGCTTGCCTCGCCATGTGCTCTGCGAGGCATGCCGTTGCTGGCACCTCAGGCCTGCGCCCCCTCAGCAGGCCGAAGAAAGGAGGGGCTCCAATAGTTCCAGACAGGGCAGGCCCCAGCTTCGAGAGTTCAAAAGGAGAGGGAGGAGGAGAAGGAGGAGGAGGAGGAGCAGGAGCAGGAGAGGGAGGAGGAGGAGGACGACGACGACGACGACGACGACGACGACGAGGAGGAGGGGGACGAGGGAAAGGGGGGGACGAGGGGGACGGGGAGGACGAGGAGGACGAGGGGGAGCAGCAGAAGAAGCAGGAGACCTCAGCAGCGGATTCAGGCGGGAGGGGGAGGATAGGACTCGCGAGGTGGAGGAGAGGGAGGGGGAGGAGGAGGAGGAGGAGGAGGAGGAGGAGGAGGAGGAGGAGGAGGGGAGGAGGAGGAGGAGGAGGGGAGGGAAGGAGGAGGAGGAGGAGGAGGAGGGAGGCGGAGGAGAGGAAGGAGGAGGAAGAGGAGGAGGAGGAGGAGGAGGAGGAGGAGGAGGAGGAGGAGGAGGAGGAGGGGGAGGAGGGGCAGGGGCAGGGGAGGGGAGCAGGACTGGGGGAGGAGGTGCAGGGAGCACACGTGCACCACTGCCTGTGCCCGGGCTCGGCGCGAGGAAGAGCGGCGAGGGAGGTGTCGGGCGGCGGACGTGGAGCAGGAGCAGTCGGTGGCAACTCATGGGAGCCTCCCATACCATCTTGTCGGCTCTTGCGAATCGACGCCAGTCGACGCTAGTCGACGCTAGTCGACGCTAAATCGACGCTAGTCGACGCTAGCCGACGCTAAACTGGCGCTATCCCATCGACTACCAGACGCTAGTCGACGCTAGTCGACGCTGGTCGGCGCTAGAGACGGAAGTAACAGGGTACGCGAGGCTCCCATGATTTGCTACCGAAGGAGGGAGCGTCGGGCGGCGGACGCGGAGCATGAGCAAGAGCGGGGCGTTGCTAGAAGTGTCCCTGCCCCAAGGTGTCTCCCAGGATCAATAGGGGTACGAGAAGGACAATCATAGGGGGGGCGACCACGAGGGGGATGATCACGAGGGGGCTGAGAAGGAGGAAGATGAATTGCGGTCATCGTACTACAGTAGGGGCCCGTGCACAAGAAGCCTTCCACGAGAAACCCAACCCTGAGACCCCAGGCGTCCCCTGCTTTTTGGTGTGGGGAACGTCACGCCTTCCACGGCAAAACCATCGAAACCCAGGAAACCCAGGGCACCCTGGAGGCAAGCATGATGGGCCTGTTTTCCACCACCACCACCATAAGTTGGAGGGGGAGGGAGTCCTCCTCCTCCTCCTCCTCCTCCTCCTCCTCCTCCTCCTCCTCCTCCTCCTCCTCCTCCTCCACCTCCTTCCCCCCTCCAACTTATGGTGGTGGTGGTGGAAAACAGGCCCATCAAAGCAGGGTGTTTCTAGACAGGGGCCCCCACTGGACCACGGGAAGCGCCCGAGGAGGCACGAAGGTCTGTTCCGGCACTGGCCGGCCTCGGTCGCCACGGGCCCCCCCCTCAACCTCCAGGCCCAGGGAGCGGCCCGGAAGGCAGAGCCCCTCCTGAGCGCCAAGGGGTCCTCGCGTCAGCGGCTCAACTTTAGGTCGGGCCATGTCCCCCTACAGGCGGGTCGTGGACGAAAAATGGAAAATAGTCGGCAAGTTCTCAAAAGTGGTCAAAAATAATCGAAAATCGCGCCCAGGCTATTGTTTCGACTATTTCTGAAGATTCCTCCTGTAGAGGGACATGCCCGACTTAATACTGACTTCAGGCGGCTTCAGAATTCGGCGTGGGGAGGGAGATGTTTTTACCGCGATCACGGAGCCTGCGAGCGCCTCGCGACGACCTGCGTGCCAGGGCAACCTGGCTTGACATCGCAATGATTCGGAGGACGGGAGAGCTTGGCAGAGCGCTTCCGAGCGGCGCCTGGTGGCCTGAACCCGCACCGAAAGCTGCACCGTACGCAAAATCTGAGCCTCGCTCAGTCCCTGCACCACCTGGGCCTCCTGGGCTCCACCTTCAGGGTGGCCGCCAGCTCCAGCGTCCTCCGTGGGCCCCGCACTGCTGCTGGCAGTGCCAGGGGAAGGCCCTGGCTCCGCTGGAGTGCCGATCCTCGAAAAACGGCAGGCTCCCCAGGCCGAGATAGCGCGGCCACCTCTCCTGGCAACCGTGTGTTCTTATGCAAAGGCGCATGCCATCCAACAACCTGCTCCGTCTGGTCTTGGCATTGTGATCCTGGGGGTCCTTGGGACACGCCTTGAGGAGACCACAAGCGCGAGCGCTCATAAATGAACCGCCTTCCCGACAGAACGTGCAGTGGGCGGTTCTAGACAGCTTCTGCCGACGGGGGCCCTGCAAAGGGGCCTGCTCGACACGAGAAGCCTCCTTACAGCGCCCATGAGAGGAAAACCGCCAGGGCAAAACTCACGCGAGAGCAGAGCCTTGGCCTTGTCGCTACGCGCTCGCTTGGCACTCTTGCGGCACCGCCAAGACCCCTGGGTCCATTCCAAGACATGCCGACTCTCCAAAGGGGGGAGCGGGGCACGTCGTTGAGGAGGGCCAGGGGACAGGGCGGCACTCTTGGAGCGCCCCGTGGCGTCGTCGAGCGTGCCCATCGTAGCGGTCACCGACCCTACCAGTCCGAGCATAGCAGAGACCTCAGCGGTCCTCGTAGCCCAGGTGGCCGTGAGATGCTGCGGGACTGGGCACAAACGGGCTCCCTCCTTCGCCTGGAGGTCGGCCGCCTGGTTGCCAAAGTAGTCGCACCGTTCGAGTCCCTCGGGCAGCTCGGCATCGGACTTCCTGGAATGAGCCTTGGATTCCCTTCGGGGATCATCCGTTGAAATTGGAACGATACAGAGAAGATTAGCATGGCCCCTGCGCAAGGATGACACGCACAAATCGAGAAGTGCATACAAACTTTAAAGGAGAGGAGGAGGAGGAGGAGGAGGAGGAGGAAGAAAAAGAAAAAGAAGACGACGACGACCACGACGACCACGACGACCACGACGACCACGACGACCACGACGACCACGACGACCACGACGACCACGACAACCACGACGACGACGACGACGACGACGACGACGACGACGACGACGACGACCACGACGACCACGACAACAACGACGACGACGACGACGACGACGCTGACGACGAGGGAGGGGAGGGGAGGGAGGGGGGAAGGGCGGGGAGGGGGGGGGGGGGGGGGGGGAGGCACCACGGGGCGGCAGCGAGGGAGTGGCGGGGGCGGGGCGTCGGACGAGGGGGGGGGGGGGGGAAGAGAGAGAAGGGGGGGGGGGAGGGAGGAGGAAGGGCGGGGGGAGGGGAGGGGGGGGGGGGGGGGAGGGAGGAGAGAGGAGGGAGGGAAGGAGGGGGAGGGGAGGGGGGGAGGGGGAGGAAGGAGGAGGGGGAGGGGAGGGAGGAGAAGGTAGGAGGGGGCGGGCGGGCGGGCGGGAGTGAGGGGAGCAGGCGGACGGGGGCGGGAGGAAGGAGGGCGGGAGGGAAGAGGTCGGGGGAAAAGGGTGCGCACGACTGCGCTGCAGGTCCCCCCCGCCGCACGGCCTCCTTCACAATCTGGAGCCAGAAGCCGCGGTCCAAGCAGCTCTCGTGCACGTACTCGGACGAGGGAGGAGGAGGAGGAGGAGGAGGAGGACGACGACGACGACGA